CTTCTCCTTCTCCTTCTCCTCTTCTTCTTCTTCTTTCTCTTTCTTTCTCTTCTTCTTTCCTTCTCTCTCTCTCCCTCCTTCCCCTCCTACCCCCTTTTCCTTCTCTTCCTCTTCATCCTCCTCTCCTCGCCTCTCTTCCTCCTTCTCTTCCTCCTCTTCCTCCTGGCTCCTCCTGATCTCTTCCTCCTCCTACCCCGCTTCTCTTCTTCCTTCTCTACCTCCTTACACAACTCTTCTCCTCTTCTCTTCTCTTCCTCTCCTCTCCTCACACCTCCCGCCTCAGTTCCACTTGTATGCTGATTTGTTTTTTTTAATTTAATAACACTGTTAAATACTTATACAATACTTTTTCTTTTTCTGTGGGTAAGCTTAAGACAAATATTCTAGCCTAAGCCGGATCGTTGCAGTGAGAACCATAAAGATGATAGAGTGGAGGATGCAACGTTTTTACTTGCTTATACCTGTCTATTGATATTTATTTCATTCTGAGTATGAAGATAAATTTAAAAAATTTAGTCTGCAGTGTTGGGTTACAATTATTGATAAAGTCAATTTTATTTCATAAAGGGGGTATTTATAATAGTTAATAGATTGAATCCATTACCATTAATGCTAAATAAATAATGCTATTTTATTTTTCCATTTCACCTATAAAAGGCTGTTAAACTTTTGTATCATTGCAACTGTCATAACTTATATGGAGCTAATCATCATCATCATCAATCATAACAGGCACGGTTAATCATCCAATCAAACAACAACAATAAACAACATCAAAACATCATTAATTGATAATTTGGACGTAAACATCACTGTAAATTCAGTAAAAACAAAACAAACAAAACTATCATCATAGTCATCAGTAAATCAAACAACACCAGAAGGTCATCAACCAACATCTCAAATCCATCATGCAAATATCAATCAATCGTCACTATCATTATTATCACCATTAAATACCGAAAAACCCAATTCATCATAATTAAAATGACGAGATCGTGATAATAGTTAACCATGACAACTACATCCCTGTCCAAACAATTAGAAAATTGACAAGGAAAAAATATAAAAAGCAAACAATAAATTCATAAAAAGTTGCAACACGAGTTGTTCATGAGCCTTTTACCGAACTCAGCAGTTGCTAGATTGTAGGGGTTGGGATTACGTTGGTGTTTTCACATTCATCCCTAATGGTTTTTTTTTCTTTTTGGAATTGAGAAAGGTTGGTTGAGTGATTAAGTGAGAAATCGAAGAAATAGAAGGAGGGAGGGGGGGTTAGGTGGAAGGAAGCGGAGGATGGAGGGCGAGGGGGAGTTGAGTAGTTATGAGGCGGTGGAGGGGAGGAGAAGAAAAGAAGAGAAAGAGGAAGAGGAAATAATGGTGGTTGGAGTGGAGAAAAGGAGGAGGAGGAGGAAGAAAAGAGAAAAGAGAAAAGAGGTAAGAGGAAATAATGGTGGTTATCTGTTGGAGGAGAAGAGGAGGAGGAGGAAGGGGGTGGAGAAGTGGGTAGTTGTGGTGGAGGAGGAGGAATAGGAGAAGGAGAGGGAGATTGTGGTAGTGGAAACGGTAGAAAGGAGATGGGGGGGGGGCGGGGGGGGGAGGAGGAGGAAAATAGTGGTGATCGCTCGCGTAGGAAAGAGGAGGAAGCAGGAGAAGGAGGCGGACGCCGGTTCATAAAGCGTAAAGGACCACGAAAAAAAGATGAAGGAAGAGAAGGCAGATGAATTGAGAAGAAAGGAGAAAGGCGAAGGAAGAGAAAACAGCAAGAGTTAAGTAAAGAATTACGAACAAGACGGAGGCGATGGAGGAGGAGACACAGTGAATGATGATAGTGCCTTAATAAAGATAATAACAGCACTAATGAAGTTAAATCAAATGACCTAAAAAAAAAATGATTAGGGGAAGTGATAGAAGGTAACGATAAAGCGGGAAAGAGAGAGAGAGAGAGAGAGGAGAGAGAGCGAGAGAGAGAGGAGAGGAGAGAGAGAGAGAGAGAGAGAGAGAGAGAGAGAGAGAGAGAGAGAGAGAGAGATAAGATAGATAGAGAGAGGAAGAGAGAGAGAGAGAGAGAGAGAGAGAGAGAGAGAGGACATGAGAGAGAGAGAGAGAAGAGAGAAGAGAGAGAGAGAGAGAGAGAGAGAGAGAGAGGAAAGAAAAACATAATGATCATAAGTTTACGTGATAAAGGAAAGGAGGAAGACCAAAACGATAAGAAAAAGAAAGTAAAAAAGTAAAAGGTAGAAAAGGAAGAAGAGAGACAGAAAAAAGATGGATAGAGCCAATATAGGAGGGAAAAGAGGGAAGAGAAAGAGAAGGAGGTAAAACAGAAACAGCGAAAAAGTGAATGATCAGTTGGTGAAGGGAAAAAAATAAGTGGATGAGGGATTTTGAGAAGATGGAAGATAACTGGAGAGAGAGAGAGAGAGAGAGAGAAGAGAGCAGAGAGAGAGGAGAGATGAGAGAGAGAGAGAGAGAGAGAGAAGAGAGAGGAGAGAGAGAGAGAGAGAGAGAGAGAGAGAGAGAGAGAGAGAGAGAGAGAGAGAGATGAGAGAGACGAAGAGAGAGAGAGAAGAGAGAGAGAGAGAGAGAGAGAGAGAGAGAGAGAGAGAGAGAGAGAGAGACAGAGAGAAGAGAGAGAGAGAGAGAGAGAGAGAGAGAGAGAGAGAGAGAGAGAGAGACAGACAGACAGACCAGAGAGAGTAGACCGAGACAGAGAGAGAAGAGAGAGAGAGAGAGAGAGAGAGAGAGAGAGAGAGAGAGAGAGAGAGAGAGGAGAGAGAGAGAGACAGAGAAGAGAAAGGTGGAGAGCGACAGAAGACATAGACAAAACAGACAACAGACAGACAACAGACAGACAAACAAACGAATCAAGATTAAGAACAAGAAAGAAAAAGAAAAAGGGAAAGGAAAAAAAAAAGAAATAGAAAGAGACAGACCATCCCCCCCCCCCTCAAAAAAAAAAAAAAACACCACCTCCGCTACGGTTGAATATCTACCAAAAACAAACGGTAACGAAAATGGGAATAAAGAAAAAATGAGAAATATTCGAGGCTGAAAGTGCGCAGCCGACCATCCTAAGGTAAGACTGGGATCGCTCCCTTGTGACCCTCAGACCACGGGAAACTCAGGCTTCTGTACCAGCTTCTCTCCTCATTCCAACACCAGCTGTTTTACACCGCTTCTATCCACCTCCGTTATGGGACTTGTTATGCTGTGCGGGTATTGGCTGTGTGGATGTTCCTCTGCGTGTTGTTACGTATTTTTGTATCTAATTTTTTAATTTATTATATTTTTTTATTTATTGTATTATTCTATTTATTTCATTTTTTTCTAGGCGTCATATTATTGTATCTATTTATTTTATTTATTATTATTTTTTATTTATGTATTATTTTATTATTTTATTTTTTTCTAGTGTTCATATTAGAAAGAATGGAAAGGATTGGAATCTTCGTTCATTATTGCGTGTGTGTTCAAGATGTTTCTCACAGCGAGCGGGAACACTGTCTTTACAAATAAAGAAACAAACACACGTATATCAATTCCTTGATACAGATATACATGTAATCCCAGCCTCATACACACACATTATCTATTTCGTGACACATACATACACCACACAGCCACATATACACACACACCACACACGCCAACAGATCCGAACCACACACGATTCATTCTATATTAGTATCCAAACAAACATCTCTGTTCAGAACTTACACTTCCCACCCGTATCATCCTTGCCCCCCCTCTGTCACTATCCTTCCCTCCCTCCCATCTGACCTCCTCCAAACCCCCTCATACCCTAACTTCCTACTCCCGCCCCGACCTCCCCTTGATTTTACGCTTTAAACACTCCCTCACTCATTCACAACCCCTCTCCCCCTCCCCATCCCTACCTATCCCCTACTTCCCGGCCATCACCACCTCCTTTCCTAACTCCCCCCCCTCCACTACTTTTCCCTACCCTACCCGCCGCTTCCATAGCCTTCCTAATCCCCCTTCCTAACATTCCTCCCTTCTCCACAAACATCGATAAACGAAACCCCCTCCCTCCCCTCCAACACGATACTCCACGCCAGAGCATTTCTATTATTTGTCTGTTCACAAGGTCCTTCTGCCTCCCCGTCCACTCCAGATCCCTTCTCACCCCCTCCCCTCTCCACTATCATCGTCACACCCTCTCACACTACCGGCACACCCTCGTGCTCACACCCCACCCGTAACTAACCAACCTACCAGTAATAAATCCTGTGGATCTGTCTAGGCGACAACCGTTAACCGGCCAAAAACCCAGGTTCTCCTCTGCCTAAAGACCCGCCCCGACTTGGTCTTTGTCCAGACAAACTTCCGCACTAGGGTTTCGCCTCTCCCTCTTACCACATACCCTCGCGTCCCCCACCTCGACCGCGAGTACACACACCGGCCTCGTGCCCCCACTGCTAGCACCCCCCCCCAGGGTGCCCTGCTCTGCCAGAGCCTAACCTCCACTACCCTTCCTACACCACCCCCTGCCCGTCGCTTCCTTGCCCGTCCGTTTCCACCCTTTGCGTGGTGCCGCTAAGAAATGGACTCGCTCGCTGCGCTTCCCCTCTTTCCGCTTGTGTATCCCCTTTCGAGTTGCTTCACTTCTTGTGGTTTTATCGGGTCTTAGTACTCATGCTGCCCACTTTGGACAGCGGACTGCTCGTGGCGCCCGGTCTTTGCTGTCTGCGCGTTCCGGTGCTTGCTGGTTTCGGTTCTCTCACCGGGGCCTCACTCCGGGTCCGGGGCGGTCCGGCGCCACGACTGCGCCCGTCCGCTGCGCGTCCCGTCCCCGTTTCCCGTTCGGGTGCCGCTTCGTTCCTGCCCTGGAACATATACACCCTTCCGCCGCGCCCCAACTCGTTTGCCGGGGCGCTCTCCCTGCACTTGGTCGTCCGGCCAACGCTGCCCGCCCTCCCCCCGGCTCTGGGCCCCTTCGCACCTGCTGTCTTCTCGGGCTTGGGGTCCGGTCTGCTCCAGGGACATGCTCCGCCCCCGCCCCTCCTGCATCCCTCTCCCGTGCCCCCCTGGGTCCGCCCGGGCGTTTCCGTGGTCGCCTCGCCCGCTGCATACCCGCTGGCTTCTCCCCCTTCGGGATCTCCCCACGCGTTCACGGTTCTTGTTTCCCCTCCGCGCTTGTACGCGCTCGTCTACGCGGCAGGATTCTCCTGCCGTCTGCTCCCGACCACTGCAAGCGACGCATCTCCTAGCTCGCCCGCCGATGCTTGACAGGTCCCACAAAGGACCTATGCTATCTCGCCGGAGCCCCTCCTGCCAGTGGTTGAGTCCCATTTCTCCCGTCCCTTCCCACCTCGGTGAGCCCCTCCGCCAGACCTACTCAACCTGCTCAGTTCCGTCACTTACACCCCACTCCTCCCACCGGCGTCCCTACCTAGGGTGGCGGCCCCGAGTCTGCGTTGGCTCCTGGACGATGCGACGTCGCGACCACACAGTGGGTGATGTTTACCCACCATAGCTTGTTCCTTGAGGTTTCCGTTGTTGCACATATACAAATAATATCGCATCTTAATATATAATATATATAATATAATATACATTTGTGTGGTTGGTGGTCAGTTCGTAGTGACTCTGATTCAAGAACATTATGTGTATGTAGTTGGTTGTGTGATGTGTGTGTGTGGTGGATGTACTGAACTAACTATGCTTATAACAATATGCTCTGCCTACTCGACTCTCGTGTATAGATACTATATAATAAATTATAGTCTCCCTTTAGCTACTCATCACTATAATATAACACAGATTTCTATCATCACCTCGTCCACAATAGCCAGCTGCCGCATCTTCATCACTAAGTGAAACTATAAGATCGTTAAAATATAGAAATTAGAATCATGATAAAGTGAACCAAGTGCTGGCCTGTTGAAAGTTTTTAAAGATTCCGGAGATGGTATGAGGAGGAAGGAAATACAGTACAACCGTTTGGAGATAGAGATGAGTGGAGATAAGAAGGGAGGGAAGTGGGGGAGGAAGGGGGCAAGGGGAGGGAAGGGAGAGGGGAATGGGGGAGGGAAATGGATGGGGAGAGGAGAAGGGGGGAGATCAAGGGGGAGGAGGGGGAGAGATGGGAATAGGATATGGAGAAGTAGGAGGGAGGGAAGGAGGGGAGGGAAATAGGAGGAGGGAGAGAAGAGAGAAGAGGGGAGGAAGGGAGGAAGATAGAGGGGAAGAAGGAGATTTTGGGATGAAGGGGAAGGAAAGAGAGAGGGAAGAGGGAGGAAATCAGGAAGAAGAAGAGAGAAGTAGGAAGAGATAAGGAGGAAGGCTGAAAGAGAATAGAGAAGAGAACGGTGGAGGGAGAGAAGGTGTGGGTGGATGAAAGAAGAGAAGAGGGAGTCTAGAGCGAAGAAGGGGAGAGGAAGAATGAAGAGAGAAGGGAGAGAAGCCAAAACAGAGGTTATTGAAGAGAACAGGAAACCGGGGGAACACGGAGCTTAAAGAGCGTGGAAAGAGAATAATGTAACAAGGGAACGAATGAAGGAGGAGGAGGAGGAGGAAGAGGAGGAGGAGGAGGGATAATGGAGGAGGAGAGGTGTAAAATAGGAGGGAGGGGAGAAAGTTTATGCAAGGGAGGGGAACGGTGATGAGAGGGGAGGAGAAGAAAAGCCCGAGGAAAAGGAGAGATTAAAAAAGAAATAAGACGAAGAGAGGAGAGGAGGAGAGGAGGAGAGGAGGGGGAGAAATGAACCAGAAAATTTAGAGGAAAGACGGAAGAGGGAGAAAAAGAAAGAAGAGAATGGAGAGGGGGAAAGGAGAGAGGGTGAAAGATGGAAGGGAGAGAAAACGGAAAATTAGTAAAAGACAATGAAAGGGGAAGCGAAGAAGGAGAAGGAGGAAGAGGGAGAACAAAAAACAGTGGGAGAGAGAGAGAGAGCGAAAGAGAGAAAAGCAAACACAGAGTGAATGAGTATAAGGTAGGAACAGAAATGAAAAAGAAGAAATGCAAATGAAATATAGATGGATCAAGGATAGAGGGTGCGAAAGGAGAAAGAGAATGAGAGAGAGAGAGAGAGAGAGAGAGAGAGAGAAGAGGAGAGAGAGAGAGAGAGAGGAGAGAGATGAAGAGAGTAGATGAGAGAGTAGAGAGAGAGAGAGAAGAAAGGAAGAGAGGAGAGAAGAGAGAGAGAGAGGAGAGAAGATGAGATGAGAGAGGAGAGAAGATGAGAGATGAGAGAGATGTAGAGTAGAGAGATTGAGGTAGAGAGCAAGTAAAGAGTAGACGAACGAGAAAGAGAGAGAGAGAGAGAGAGAGAAGAGAGATAAGAGAGAAGAAGAGACCGAGATTGAAGAGAGTTTAGAGAGACGAGAGAGAAGAGAGAGAGAGAGAGATGAGAGAGAGAGAGATGATGAGAGAGAGAGGAGAGAAAGACGGAGAGAGTATTTGAAGATAAGAGAAAGAGAGGATAAGAGAGGGGAGTAGAGAGAGAAAGATTATATGAGAAGTAGAATAAAGAGAGAATGAAGGTAGAGAGAGTAAACGGATGGAAAGTCTGAGAGTTGTGTGCAGATCGTGGAAGATGGAATGATGGAGGAATGTGGGGAGGGGGGGGGAAAGTACGGTGGGGGGTGGGGATCTTGAAGAAGTAAGCCTCTGAGCATAAATAATTGAGATCGAGCTATTAGAACGGATGGAGGCTTATGGGAAAAGATAATAACAAATGATTCCTCGGTATCGTAAGCTAAGTCAAGACCCACGGAGGGAAATAGAGAGACGAGAGAGAACAGAAGAGAGAGAAGATGAGAGAGAGAGAGAGAGAGAGAGAGAGGAAGAGAGAGATGTGAGCAGGGAGAGAGCAGAGATGAGAGAGAGAGAGAGAGGAGAGATGAGAAAGTTAAAGAGAGAGAGGGTAGACGAGGGAGAAGAGAGAGAGAGAGAGAGAGAGAGTGAGCAAGTCAAGAGAGAAGAGAGAGAGAGAGAGAGAGATGAGAGAGAAGGACGAGAACGATGAAAGAGAGAGAGAGAGAGAGAGAGAGAGAGAGAGAGAGAGAGAGAGAGAGAGAGAGAGAGAGAGAGAGAGAGAGAGAGAGAGAGAGAGAGAGAGAAAGAGAAGAGAGAGAGAGAAGAGTAGAGAGAGAGAGAGAGATGAGAGAGATGAGAGAGAGAGCAGAAGAGAGGAGAGAGGAGAGAGCAGGGAGAGAGAGAGAGAAGTTAGAAAGAGAAAAGAGAGATGAGAAGAAGAAAAGAAGAAAAAGAGAAAGAGACAGACAGACAGAAACAGACAGAGACAAAGGAGAAGGAAGATAGAAAGAGAAAGAAAGAGAGAGAGGAGAAGAGAAAGAAGAAAGAGAGAAAGACAAGAGAGAGAGACTAATAAAACAAGGATGAAAGAAAGAAAGAAAGACAACGCAACGACAAGTAGAGAAGGAAACACACAATAAACACCATACAATATAAAATGTCCCATAATGTCGTTGGATCAAGTGACATAAACAGCTGGTGTTTGGAATGAGGACTGAAAATGAAGAGCAAGATCATGAAGAGGCTGAGACACGCAAGAGAAGAAGAGAGAAGGATCTGAATAAGAATGAAAATGAAGGAAGGATAATAAGGAGGGAATAGAAGGAATGGATAAGAATGAGGAATAGAAGGAATGGGAATGATATGAAGGAGGAAGAGAAGGAATGGATAAGATGAGGAATAGAAGGATATAGGATATGAAGGAGGAAGAGAAAGAATGGATATGAAGGAGGAAGAGAAGGAATGGATAAGAATGAGGAAGAGAAGGAATGGATATGAGCGAGGTAAAGAGAGTCAATGGATAAGAAGGAGAAGAAAGGAATGGATTTAAGAAGGTAAGGATCGAGAAGGAATGGATAATGAAATGAGGAAGAAGAAGGCATATGGATATGAAGAGGAAAGAAGGAATGGATAAGAAGAGGAATAGTGAGAGGAATGGATAAAGAAATGGATGAATAATGTAACGGAATGGATAAGAACTTGAGCGAATGAGAAGAATTGGAATAAGAAGAGAAATAGAAGGGCTTGGATAAAGAAAGTGAGTAGGAGAAAGAAAGGATGGATAAGAATGAGGAATAAGAAGGAAATGGATAATGAAGAGGAGAGAAGGATAATAGGATAAGAAGAGGAATGAAGGAATTGAATAAGAATGAGGAAGAGAAGACGTGATAAAAATGAGGATATACGAAGGATTAGGAATAAGAATGAGGAAGTAGAAGGACTTGATATAAGAACGGAAGGAAGGAGGCTAAGAAATGAGGAAGAGAATGGAATTGGATACATAAGGAGGAATGGAAGGATTATGGATAAGAATGAGGAATAGAAGGAATGGATAAGAAGGAGGAAAGAGAAGGAATGGATAGAATTGAGGAAGAGAAGGAATGGATAAGAATGGTAGGAAGAGAAGGATGGAATAAGAAGAAGGATAAAGAAGGAATGGGATAAGAATGAGGAAGAGAAGGAATGGATAAGAATGAGGAAGAGAAGGATACGGGAGGATGCGTTAGAGGTGATGAGGAAAGGATAAGTGGAATAGGGAGATGAGGAAAGATAGAGTATGAGGAAGAAGAGAAATGGTGAGTGAATGAGGAAAATAGAAGAGAGAGAATGGAAAAAAAGAAAAGAAATGGTGAAGGAATGAGGATAAGATAGGAGAGAGAATTGGAGGAAGAAGGAAGACAAAAGTGTGAGGAGGGGGGGATATACCTCACAAAAAGATGAGGAAGTCATAGGAATTTGCACACTCAACAAAGAATGAAGTTTTTTACTCCTAATTCAGAGGAATGAGAATGCGATAGCCCCAACATGGAGAGTGTGATTTATTGAGGTCCTCGTGTATTGATACTAATGACGCCCCTCATGTAATTACTCGCGTGTGGGAAACGTCATTTATGAGGTTCCTCAATGTGATTCTTCTAGAATAATCTATGAGGCTTTCCTGTCTTTTTTTTTTCCTCTCTCTCTTTCTTTTTAACATAGAGATTTATGAGGATTTAATGCGATCACGTGAGCATGCGAAACCCTGATTCATGAGGTGTTTCATTTGTTTGATTTACGAATTCCTTACCTAGTTCCTCGAGAGGGATTCGTGCGTTCCTCATGCAATCCCACGAGCGAAAATTTATGAGGGGCCTCATATGATTGCGTGAGCGTATATTGAGCGCGCTGTTCACCGGGCGTGCGTGAGGGGTATGGCTGAGATATGAGGAGTGAGCGTGCGAGCTGCTAAAAGCGGTGAGAGGAGATAAGT